TTGCCTAAATGGTGGTGAGTTTAAAGCTACAGCATCAGTTAATAGTCTCAAGAGAATATTTCCAGCTGTGGTAATTAATTTCATCTGTTTGTCCTCTAAAACACACGGGTTAAGCCAAAAATTTGTTGATTTTCTTATATTGTTCATCCATCCCTTTCTTTTATCAGGAAGCAAGGGGTGTCGTCATGGCTATACCAATGCCTGGACATCCTGTTCCTAGTCAAGAAGAGCAGACTGTGCTTAATGATTGTCGATCCCTACATGATTTAATTGATTCTCATGATGTAGTTTTCTTGTTGACTGATACAAGAGAAAGTCGGTGGCTACCATCTCTTCTTTGTGCAAATACTAACAAGGTCTGTTGACTTAATCTATTTTTTAAAATTCACTGTGGTATAATGTGGCACTATATTCTCACATCTAAATGTGAGTCACATCTACGTTAAGACAATCTACTTACCTGATTCAAGCATATAGGATATTTGGATTAGGTATCTTTATCAAATTGGCATTCATGTTGTCCAATAAAAAATAACTATTGTTTATTTGTTTGCAGATTACTATAACTGCAGCTTTAGGATTTGATAGCTTCTTGGTTATGCGCCATGGAGCAGGTCCTTTTAGCTCTAGCCATGATTCAAAAGCTGAAGCTGCAAATTCTTTATCTGCTGATATGAGCAACCTTGGCCTGACTGATAGAGATGGAGGGAAGAGATTGGGCTGTTACTTCTGCAATGATGTGGTTGCGCCTATTGATGTAATTTTCTAGAATGCAATAGATATGATATTTTAGCTGTTCAATGTATGTCAAGTACAGCCATAAGCCTTCTGTTCTCTGTGCAGTCAACTTCAAACCGCACACTGGACCAGCAATGTACTGTTACACGCCCAGGCCTTGCTCCTATTGCCTCAGCTCTTGCAGTTGAGCTCTTAGTAGGAATCCTGCATCACCCTCACGGGTAAGTGGTTGAAATTTTTTTTGAAAAGGGCCTGATTATTTATTAGATTTATGAGAGTTCCAATATGTTTAGTTTTCATGGTTAATAACTAAATAGAAATTCCACTTTGGTTTTTTGTTTTTTTCAATGATTGACCTGAGATTTCGGTGTTAAACTGCTCGCGTTCAGGATATTTGCGGAAGGTGATGTTTTAAACTCCAGTAATAGTGAAAGCAGTGAGCAGCCTCTTGGTATTTTACCCCATCAAATTCGAGGTTCCCTTGCACAGTTTTCACAGATGACACTTGTGGGCCACTCCTCAGACAGTTGTACGGCTTGTTGCAGCACTGTAAGTTTTCCCTTGCTTGTTGACTTTTTCCATGGCGGTACCCTGAGAAAGTCACAGCTTGTTCTTAAACTGTTTGAGCCATTAGTTCTATATGCTATTCAGGGAATAAACAGTTCATATGAATCAATGAATAAGTAGTATTATTCGATGAGAAAGTCATAACTGAATTAGTAATTATAGGGGCCTGCATCTTGACATTTTGATATGCAAGCATTAATATGTTCATTTCTATCAAATATTATATGAGGGTGTTATTTTTATTCATAATTGTAGCAAATATAAAATGAAATTACAAAACCAGTAGCAGGCGGCTCATTCTACTTTGTCAAGTCTATAAAACTAAAGAACTACTTTTAAAATATGTTTTCTAATTATTCTACTTATTAGTTGAGATTAGGATTCCTTGGGTAGAATAATTAGAAAACATGTTTTAAAAGTAGAATAATTTTAACTAGAGGAAAAATTGTGAGGAAGCTTGATGGGAATGAAAATGGTGATAATTTGCTAGATTCTCTTTGTAGTTTCCTCCTTATGCATTCCTTTTAGTAATGTCTTGTATATAACTATAATTTCAAATAAATCATTGCAAAATGAATATTTCATTCAGGTGGTGTCTGAATATCGGAAAAGGGGAATGGAATTTATACTGCAAGCAATCAACCACCCCACCTATCTGGAGGACCTAACTGGACTGACGGAGTTGATGAAATCAGCTAGTTCATTCGAATTGGACTGGGATAATGGAACGGATGAAGATGATGATGATTGCGTTGACGTCTGATTTTTTATTTTCTTTTGATAGGTGGGTGGTTCTTTATTTTTTTATGCTGCAATATATTCTCAACTGTACAGATGCTTAGGAAAGTTATATTCAATCATGTATGTTTCAATTTGTTCTCAACACGATTGTTTCTAAACTGTAAACCCTACTGCTTTACGAAATAATATATTCGATGCGGCTATTCATTACAATTTGTACGCTATGAAACAGAGAAGACATTGGTGGTTGTTCTTCCGACTATCATAGGAAGAAGAAGAACCGATGTCAAATGTATGGCAGAGAGGGGGTAGAAAGTTAAAAATTGTCAATCAAAGTGCGAAGTGTGACCTGAAAATTATGGTCAGAGACCACAATGCTGCGTATCTGAGCATATCATGGCATAAGTTGGCAGCCTAAGATTTGGCCTAGCAGCTGGTCTAGTCGTTTTGATGACCTTTGAAAATTTTGAATGGTGCTGCCGCCACTTCAAATCACAAACCTTAAAACTACGTACTTTTGAAAATCAGAACTTGAAAGGAAGCTTCAAGCCTGGAGCTCCAAAAGCAGAAAAAGCAACATTAGAGTCTTTTTCTCTCAAGGGAGTAGGATGAGAAGAAGTCTCAAACTCAAAGTCTGCCACTTTAAAGTCATGGCTAGCTAGACTTGCTTAAGGTTGAGGCTCAGTGGGTTTTGCACTTTTTGTTTCACCCAGTCTCATGAACCATCATGTATAATTGAATGTTGTTGTTTGTGGCTTGTGGTTGTGTTTGGGATGGTACGAATGATATCAGTTAGTTCAATATTAGTTAGTGCAGCAGTGGTTTGGACCCTTGAATGAATATATATGACTAATCTTCAACCTGAGCACATACGTTAGTGGACTCTCCAATTTGAGTTTTAGCCTTAGTTATCCTAATGTGTGTGGATCACGTGCTCGGTTGCAGTATAATCCAATTCAATCCTAGTCATCGAACATAACAAAACAACAATCCAATCTTAATCACCAAACATAACAGAACATCACGGAGTAGCAGGAGCAACAGTTGTACGAAAAAGGTAGAAATGGTTGATGGTGGTACACATCATAAAAGCACTACTAGTTTAGGTTCTTGTCATCTTTTGGGTTCTCCCTCAACACCTCCCCCTCGTGATTTAACAATCCAAAGCCCTCCCTCCCTTCCCTCCTATTGCGCTTGCTGTGGCTACTGTTTCACACGTTGGAAAAATTCGATGTTTTTTAGGACTCAAACAAAACTCAAATGATAAATGGGTGGTGGAACCTGCCACGCCATCATCATATTCATAGCATAATATATATATATATATATATATATATCTCTCTCTCTCTCTCTCTCTCTCTCTCTCTGCTGTGTGTGTTTTGGATTTTGCCGTAATGCGACTCCACCAAAAAAACATACTTTGAATGAATTGGTCAATAATGGTGATCAGTGTTTCTGTCAAAGTGGTGCACTAAACTTATCAGATAAACTTGTTTCGATTTGTTCTTGACCATCAACAAGCAAGGCACCGCTAGAGAGAGCTAGAGCTGTAATAAAATTTGAAAAAAAACCCATAAATATTGTTAGTACAAGTTTTGGCGTGCTATTAAACAAAGAGTTGGGCACTTTGGTCCCCAATTTGGACGCCTAATTGGTCTTTTCTCAATTCATGCTAATATGGGATATAACCTAACTATTATAGAATATAGACCTCTGCATTCTGCAGGAAAAATGAAGAAAGCTACAGGTGCAAGATGACCAATATTTTCCATAGACCAGCCAAATCTGGCAGATCACAGATGCAATACCTAATTCCTATTTTTAAGCATAGAATCCAATTGGAAAAAAATGACTTCCATTTTGACCCGAATAACAACCTATCAATGTTGCCTTGCGTGAATGACTTGAAATAATTGTATCGTTCTAAGCGGGATCTCATAATAATATAATAATACAGTATGTGTTTATGTTCTGTCTATGCCACTCTGTCCTATAAACATAATCAGATACACAAACAAGCTGTTCTTTTTCTTCCAAGCAAGATCGATTCCATTAATTTATGTAACATGTTAATTTAACATTAGTTAAGCAGATATGTTTTTGTTTCAGCAACACATCCTGCAGACAAATCCACCCAAAGAAACCATGCATGTGAGAAAATCTCAAACACTGATAAAAGATTAAAGGAAAGAAAAAAAACAAATACTAGATCTGACTGAGGTTTAATTGTGCAGCATCATTAATTCTGTGCATGCGTGACACCTGTACGATATCAAAAATTTCTGACCTGCAAGAAAATCAATGCAGGTGCCCTTTGTATCTGATCCCACATGCCATTAATGTAGCTCACATCTCAGAACCAAGATTAATTAAAGATAATACATTGCCAGTAAATAAATAAAAACTTTAGCTGGGCACAGTGGCATTCCCAGAAACTATGGCACATAAACATTGATATTGGGGACAGTCAACATTAGTCTAAGCCGCCTGATTTAGATTACATCCAAGCAACTTCCCCTCAATGGAGTTGGTGATATGTAGGGCCCCTCCCCGTACACAAGTAGTAACACAACCCCAAAATTCAAATTATGCAATGACTGATATAAACACATATGTCAAACTGTGATTTGTTTGTAAAAAAAAATAACCAACATTATATCGATTCGGAATGACATTTTGGTAATTGGAGAAATTAAACCGGGACATTATGGGGATAGGAGTGAATAATACTAATAAAGATCACATATAATCAGTGTTTTTAAAATATGTGAGTTCCAATAGACTAGTCAGCACTGTTTGCTCTGCATGTGCTTTGTGCTCCCTCTGTTTTTCATCTTCTAAAGTCGTCCTTCTTCTTTGTCTTGTTCCACAGATCCCATAAACCCACAAACACCCCTCTCTCTCTCTCTCTCTCTCTCTCTCTCTCTCTCTCTCTAAAAGGTCAGACTTCCATAGAAATTTATATAAAGAAACGAAAACCCTACACAGTTTCTCAACCCCCCTCTCTCTCTCTCTATCTCTCTCTCTCTGTATTTCTCTGTCTCCCTTATTCAAGCACCAAACATGTCTGATTCTAATTCTACTGCTACCTCTTCTTCTGCTTCTCCTATATGGTTATATTCTTACATCAAGCTTCGGTTTTTCAATCGAATCCGACGCTTCCTGCGCTCCAGAAACGCCCGCAAGCGCCCCACGCCGTCTGATCACTGCGACACATCGTCATCAAGACCCGCCAAAGTTATAAGCAATAACAACGAAGCAACAATGGCAGGGCCAGTTTTGGAGAAGCAGAGTGGCGATGATCATGAGGATGATGTGTTGGGGTTGCAGAGGGCGGTGAAGAAGCTTCACTTTGGAGTTTGTTGGGAAGAGAGGGAGTTGGCGGCTATGGAGATTGGGACGTTGGCTAAAGAAGATGTCAAGGTCAGGAAGTTGGTCGGTGGGCTTGGTGTTATACCGGTTTTGGTGTCCATGGCGGCGTCCGAGGTGGTTGCCCGGCAACGAGCGGCGGTGTCCGCCTTGATTGAGCTTGCTAATGGAACTTACACGTAAGCTCCTAGTCCTTATAATTTTTTTTAAAATTTTTTTGGTTTTAATGCATAGTCAAACTTACATCATTTTGAATTTGATTTGCAATGTATTTTTGTTTGAATGTAAGGTCAAAATTGCAAGTCTCACATATCATGCTAAGAAAATTTATATATATGTGTGTAACTCACTCATATTACGGATACAAAGTCAAGTGGTGATGTCTACTCAGTTCTAGTGACCAAATTTGACTTAAGGATAGAGTTATCTGATTTTTCTTTAGGGTTATTAAAAATAAATTATTGCGGTTTAATAGAGTGGAAAATGGTTTTGACTTGCAAATCGGTCATCTTGGTTTCAAACTCTTTTGACATTTTGGTAATATGTGTGAGAAATCCCTCTCTTTTTATTTAGAAATATATATTATTAAAGAAGGAAACAGGGATCCATATTCAGTCGATTAAGAATTAAGTGAGTTATATTTTTCATTTGAATCCTGCCAGACTCAAGTGATGATGTGACAGAAAATAGCTGAGTTTGCTATAAAGGTAATGGCATTTTTAATGGTGGGGTAGGTTTTTAGCCAGTTAGTGAAGAGAAGCAAGAATATAGCAGACCTAAAAGAATAGTATATTTGAGTGGTTCCTAACCTACTGCCCAATCAACTTGACCATATGCAGCAGATATGCTATCTATCTTTCATGGCTGCATTTATTTATTGGCCAATTAATAAGCACATTTTGCAACTTAATTAGCGGTTGAAAATGGGTTAATTAATGTTGCTTTAATTATCATGTGCATTATCTGAAATCCTTGAAGCAGAGAAGCCCGCAGGCTGCGGTGACTGTCGACCCACTAACCCTAGTGGTTGGGAGAGTTGGAAGGGAAACAATATAATCGAAGCTTACGTGACCCTTTTTTTCAAATGAGACGACTTATTTAGGGCTGTGAGATTTGTAGTGTAGTTGTTCAGATTCCATTTGATTTTTGGACAATAAATTACCCCATTTTGTTGACCTCCAAGTCTTGGAATCTCGTTGACTTCATCACTATGCTACAAATTTCTTTGGTTTGCTTTGGTTTGGTGTGCTCATAATTCATATAAAATATTTATTTAATTTTACCAGTCGGTCACATTTCGAACCCATTATTGACTTGAACTGTATAGTTTTATTCGTATTGTCATCATGAAGTTAGACAGAATAATAAGTTGGAGACATTTTGTGCTTCTCTCTCCTAATTCTCTCTCTGCATGATCTGTTTCTTCAGCAACAAGGCTCTCATGGCGGAGGCAGGAATATTCTCCAAGCTACCAAAAGACATCAACATTCTTGATGAGACAACAAGGCACCAATTTGCAGAGCTGCTCTTGTTGTTGTCCTCACTTGCAAATACCCAATTTCCTCTGTCCTCATTAGAAACTCTCCCATTTCTTGTTGGCATTATTGAGTCAGGAACTTCAAGCATTGAAACCAAAGAGACATGTTTGGGTGCTTTGTACAACCTTTCCACCATGCTGGACAATGCAGCCAATTTGGTCTCCAATGGGGTGGTGGAGGCTCTGTTGAATTTGTCCTCCATCAAAGAGCTTTCTGAGAAAGCTCTTGCCACATTGGGGAATTTGGTTGTGACCCTAATGGGAAAGAAGGCTATGGAGAATAGCGCGGCGGTGCCGGAGAGCTTGATAGAGATTTTGACATGGGAGGATAAACCCAAATGCCAGGAGCTGTCTTCCTACATTCTAATGATTTTAGCTCATCAAAGCTCAGATCAAAGAGTTAAAATGACCAACTCAGGAATTGTGCCTACACTTCTTGAAGTGGCCTTATTGGGGAGCTCGTTAGCTCAAAAGAGAGCACTGAAACTATTGCAATGGTTCAAGGATGAGAGGCAAGCCAAAATGGGCCCACATTCTGGGCCCCAGACAGCAAGATTTGCAATTGGGTCCCCACTTGGTTCACCTGTAAACCCAAGAGAGGCTCAACAAGGGAAGAAAATGATGAAGAATTTGGTGAAGCAGAGTCTTTACAAGAACATGGAAATGATAACAAGGAGGGCCAGTGCTTCTGGGGACTCATCTAAGCTCAAGTCTCTCATTATCAGCACAAGCTCTAAGAGCTTGCCTTACTAATTCAAAGACACAAGTGAAAAAAATTACATTTTTTGCATATAGCTTTATCACAATTGTACATCTGATCTGAACAAATCTTATCCAGATGGGTAACAATGAACCCTTGCATGGGGCAAAAAGGAATCTAGTGGCTAGTTTTTTTTTTAATTATTTATTTAAATTTATAAATTTATAAATTTTATTCCTTTGTTTCAATGTGTTAAGGAGTGCACCATTCTTTGTGTGAAAAAAAAAAAAAAGAAAAAAAAAAGATAAGAAAATCATATAATTTTCTGATTTGAATAATAGAATATTTTCTTCCATATTTATTTATTTATTTTCTTGAAATTTCTACTTTTATTTGTCTGAAAAAACCCAATTTCTCCATCGCAGAATTATTGGCCAAATAAACCAGATGGTAAGCCCAAAAGACCCATGATGATTAGAGCCCCAGGCCTACTCAGCTATAACGACACCAAGTTTAATGTCGTATAAATTACCCCGAAATTTACAGCGAAGGATTACGGACATCTCTCTCTCCCTAGGTCTAGGGTTTATACAAACTCGCGCAGTCCAGGCTCCGCCTTCCTCCCCAACATCCCAAACCAACCTAACACACCATGGACTTCACGAAGAAGCGCAAAACTGAGCCGAACGGCACCGTTTCACTATCTCCAGCTTCCCAATCGAGTTCTCTAACCTCAGAAGACGCCCGCAAGCTCCTCCAACCCTTGACCCAGGACCAGCTCATCGACATCCTCCAAAACGCCGTCGTTCGCCACCCCGACGTCCTCGACTCCGTCCGCTCCGTCACCGACAAAGACTCTACCCTCCGGAAACTCTTCATCCGCGGCCTAGGCGCTGACACCACCTCCGACTCCCTCCGCTCTCTCTTCTCCGCCTTCGGCGACCTCGACGAGGCCATCGTAATTCCCGACAAGGCCACCGGAAAATCCAAAGGCTACGGCTTCGTCACGTTCAAGCACGCCGACTCGGCCCTTCTCGCTCTCAAAGAACCGAGCAAGAAAATCGATGGTAGAGTCACTGTGACGCAATTCGCCGCCGCCGGCTTGACGGCGTCGTTTAGCAACAGCAACTCTAACGCCACCGATGTCTCCGCCAGGAAGATTTACGTGGGAAGCGTACCGTTTGATATCTCTTCGGAGAGACTGTTGTCGACTTTCTCGGCGTACGGAGAGATTGAGGAAGGACCGCTAGGGTTCGATAAGGCCACCGGAAAATCAAAGGGGTTTGCTTTCTTTGTGTACAAGACTGAGGAGGGTGCCAGGGCTGCACTTGTTGAACCCATAAAGAACATCGACGGTCATCAGGTGGCTTGCAAATTGGCGGTGGACAACAAGAAGAGCAAACCTGGTGGGGCCCAAGCAGCTCCTGTTGATAACTCCGGCGTCCCTCCACCGCAATCTTCGATGCCACCGGGGTTGTATCAGGGCCCACCTCCGCATCAGCAGGGCCCATATTCCGGTTATCCCGGCGGGCATCAGCCTTTGCCTGGGCTGCCTGGTAATAATTTCGGTGCTAGGTATAATGCCAATTTGGGAGGTGCATATGGTTTGCCGCCACCAGGTGAATTCACAGCTCGGTTGCCGCCAAGTTCTATAGGAATGGGTCATGGAGGGTATTCGGATGGTCCACATTATGGTTTAGGAGCATCCATGGGGCTTCCTTCTCAGCATCAGCAGCCTCCTTCTGTACCTAGAGTCCCGCCTGGTGGACTTTACCAGGGGATGCCACCATACTACTGAGTACTTACTAAGGTAATTTTTGCATTCTTAGTTTTCCTTTTTTATCAATATATATATATACACACACATGGTAATATACAAATTCAAGAATTTAACTTGGTATACCAGAAGGGTCACAAATGTTTTATGTTGTAAAATGCCAAACTTGAATCGAAAAGTTCTTGTTTTTTTTTACTGTATCTTGGCTTACATGTCCGTGAGTCAATTTCATCTTATGTGCTCTGTGAGTAGTTTCTTTTGGTTTATGGATACTTCCCCTCAATTTGAATTGGATTTTGATTAAAACTCACTTCTCTTTTTGCGATCAAGTTTCATATAATTTAAGTTAGTCAACTGTTTTAAAAGATTTACAATCGGCTGTACTATCTTCTTTTTTGCATTTGACTGAAGAAGCTTTTCGTTTTTGGTTTGTTTAGATTTTGATTACTTTGTTTGAGTGGTGAATGGGTATTTGGTTCAGGTCCTTGAGAAGCTTCTTGGGCGCAAATGCTTTAAATGGTTATGGTGATTTCATGAATGCAGACAATGAAATCTTTGGATTGATTATATGGACTGCTGTGATTCTGTTGCTGCTTCACTTCATCTGCTTCTATGAGTTGTGCCTTGTTTTCTGATCAATGTTGATCTAAATGTAGAACTTATTCGAAAGGATAGTATACCTTTTGTGATAAATGATGTGCTGAAATAGGGACTTCCTTTTTTGTTGAGTTGATGACAATACTTCCTCTGTTTTTTGTAAACTTCCTTGCATTTCTTTATGCTATAATGCTGATAGTTGTTTTCTTTATGTGATAATTTGTGGCTTTACCTTTATATGTGGCTCATGAAAACTTCTAATTTTTATCATGACATACAAGTTTTGTTTCAGGAGTTTCAATTATTTAAGTTTAAATTGGAAACCTCTGTTCCCTCTAAGTCCATACCATGATGTCTTTCTTTGTTTGACTTTGGTTAGGTGTGTGAGTGAAAGTGCAATTGTTCATATTCATGATTTTTATGTAATGTGGGCTTTGATGTAAGCTTTCCATTCTGCGGGTTCTCTACGTGCTGCCCAGTGATTTGATAGTTTGTCGTATATTCGATACTTCCTCACCACTAGATGAATAGTGCAACGTTGGTACTTTTCTATTTATTGAGTTCGGAATAGCTGTACAACTGGAACAGATCATATTGTGTCTTTTTCCATCTCTCTTATGAACCTATAGGTGAAGATCCTAAAAGTGACTCCTTTTTCCATCACATTCATGCTCAGTTTGGTCTTTGTAACGAGGGAGTTTAACCTAAAATTTCAGGTGAAATATCCATCTTCTCAGTATAACAAAAATAGGACACTTTATTTTCTCTCTCAAACACTTCTCAGTTCTGTGATCTGTCTCCTACGACTTATTTCAGTTAGTTTATGTTGAAAATAAAGTTGTTATACAGCCTTCCACGTCATTTCGGATAGTTGCTAGTATCTTTATTGGTTAGCTTATGTTGACTTTGTCTCTTGTATATCATGTATGACTATGCAAGTTGTGGGTTTTGTGAACTTGTTTACGTATGAAAGAGTTTATATTGCTTTAGAATCAGCCATGATGTGCAATTAAAGTGAGTATGATGTCTTAGGTGTGTAAGTTATTCTGCTGAACTGATATGAAAATTATCATATACATTAAAGCGCAAGTATCATTCTGTCTTTCTTTCTTTTGGAAATTCTTGTCTACTGCTTTTCCCTATTCCCTCAATTCAAGTGAAGCATAGAGGGAAGATTCTTAAAATGGTTTCCTTCCTTTTTTTCGGGTTTTCATACCCCACAATCTATAGAAAGCCTAATGCATCATATAATTAGAAATGGGTGTTCTTATTTTCTCTCCCAGACGTAATGTTGAATTGTCCTCGTACCATATGTTATCTTTGTGTATTTTGAGTGTGGTTGATGTATGAGGAAAGCCACATCCATATATTATACATATTATGCCCTGTGGTTTCTGTTGGCTTTTGTGGATAGCATGACTCAGGCTTACCCTTTTCTCGGCTGCTGCTAACTAATGAACCCGGAGTTGGCTTCTCTGTTCTTTGTTGGTCCATTCTTGTGATGTGGAAAAACATATATGGCCCTCGTGGAGGTTGGATCCTAATCGGTGTGACCTGCTTAGTCATTATAGTTTATCCTCATCTTGAGATCAATGGCCTTATTATGGGTGGTGCTGGAAGTGTTTAGTTTTATGACATTGCGTGGGATGAAACTTTAATGCATGGAGTTGAATTTTTTTTAATGTTTTGCCAGTTATCTTTATGTGTATTTCTGGATTGTGCCAGACGAAGAAAAGAAGGGTTGAGATAGATGAGTGCGATTAGAGTTAAACATAAAAGATGTTGTTGCTCCTCATTTAAGTCCGATCTTAATTATTTCTCAAAGTTGGTTGTAATGATACAGTTCCAGTTCTTTATTCTTTACTTTACATATCTTGAGACTTGCACGACCAAAATCAAACCCAGATGTTGATTATTCTGCGTGATAAATGAATTGATCTTTCTATGAAAGGAAAAAATAAATAAATATTAAAATACATGATGATAGCAGGAGTTTCTTCGTGAATCGTGGTGACATTCTACGAAATGCTTTTGTTAAATGATTTAACTTAAAACTAATCATATGCTTTCGACTGTGAAGTCACAAGTCCGTCATGAAAACTAAGTTGCAGGAGAGTATCATTAACATACATAATAAAGGAATTAAACAGAACTTATCCTAACCAGTGTTCGTTTTATTGGTCAACAACCTTGATCTATCTGTTTTCTACTATTTAAGGAGCAAAGTCAAAAGAAATGCAGCAATTTCCTGACTAGGAAAGAGCCCATCTAATCTAAGCTCTCTCTCTCTCTCTCTCTCTCTCTCTCTATCTCTCTCGCTTGCAGTTTTAGTGTGCATTGGCAGTGGCAGGCACCAATTTCATGTGTTGTTCACCTCGCTTGGGGCCATGTCGTGGAAAGTATCATCAGCTCCAAACTTGAGGTTTTGTGGCTGTATTTAGATTGGTTTCTAAAAGAGTTGCTCTGCAATCTTGAGAGCCATGGGACATTCAACAGGAGATGTCTTTTTGTCTGATAAAACCACATGGGAAAGGATTGAGACTAACTGCAGGTTTCTAACCACCTCAGAAATACACTTGTGATGATTTTGACCTCTAAACACATGCTATATATCTAAGTTATATATACAATACAAGCATATCATATATAATTGGTTCTGGAATCTAATCTGCATTTTATTTTATTACTTATCAAACTCTACAAACATGTTACAACCATACCGGTCGCCGGTCGACTGAAGAATATGATGTAGATCATATTTTATTTCCTCTCACACATGCAGACACTGGAAAAACTAAGATAACAAAATAACACTAGTAGCTAATACCAAGAAGACGGAAACAGAAACTAAAAGAAAGAAAAACGCATGAAATGACCCTCTTCTTAAATCAGTCGAACCTAACATATATCAATCGGTGCAATTAGCTTCTTCTAGGAGTAATGCACTTGTTTTGAAGTTGAGCTTTACAACTCAATGCTGGATGGAATTATTGTGCTGACGGTTTGGCCCTCCTGGTGATTTTCTGTCACCTTCCAATTTCCTGCTCATCCTCTTGTACTCGTTATACTGCCGCTGCTTCCTCCCCATCCTAGACAAATCATAACTTATCAATCCACGTAAAATAGAATTACTATCAATTCTACTCTTCTGCGTGGTCTTGCGCCCACCATAAGAATCTGCTGCTTCCAAACCACAGACATGCATTGACCAAATAAGCATGATCATCAGCACTGAAACTCTCATGATTAGACTTGAATCTGCAGCCATTGATTTTTTATGCACAGATTGCTAGCTAAGCGCTTAATTGATTGTAAGTAGTGTCATTCCTTCTATGGCAGCCCAAATTTATACTAGCACTAGAGATCTCAGCAGAGAGATATTGGTCCATTGATTAGAATAGTGTTTATGGTACGGCGTCTAGAAGCTGACAAATCCAACGTGGAACTTTGGCTTTGTGCGATCACATTGTTTCAAACTTTGCTGCTATATTAATTATCTTCTGGTATATTGCTCTTTGACCCCTCTGGAGCATATCTTTGTGATATATGCTTAATCATCACACTAGTAGCCCGATCAATTATATATTAATAGAGATTAACGTTTTCTTGAATAATTATTTGATACATGATAAGAAGCTTGTTCTTACGGAATGTGTGGTTCAAAGTCATAATCTGACAACATAAGTAGTTATGTAGAGACATAGATCCATGATGCTAATATTTTCTCATTCCTCTTTGCCCTACTCTTTCATGCATTTCCTCTAAAACCACTGTGCTCTAAGTCATGCACACTACTCTACAAGCTGCACTTAAAAGAGTAGGGCAAACCACTGAGCATATCTTCGTGATATACGCCGCATACTAACGTATCTTGCCCACTTCTGTGGTCTTGGAGGATTTTATGTTTTTTTCCACTACACTTTTCATTTGCTGTCACGTCATGTCCGCACGGTTGTAAATATAAAACCACATTTGGCCATTTGCTGTCATTTGTCTTCAACTCCATTTTATTTTTCTTGGTGGGCTACTGCACAATCCTACCAAATTTCTTAAAATATTCAGCTAGTGATCTGAGACATGACAGCAAACGTTTTTTTTTATTTTCTCCCATGAGCTATTCAAAGTCTCTTAAGAGTATCGGATTCATTCTCAAGAACCCACGCATTTCGTGTATTGAAACCTCTTAAGGCCAACGTAGGAGAGTCAAGATAGCTATGGAGTCAGAGTCATGTTATGTCGTTTTCAAAATTGGGGTTATGTCAAGGTCATGTTGTACTCATCAATCCTAACATAACATATGTAACCTTATATATGATTTCGTACCAACTTGGCATGCTTATCCTTTTTGTGAGAGATGAATGTGGAAGTAAAGTATTGGAAAAATATGTTTGTGCGAAATTCATCTTTTTCGATTTTGGTTCTTTGAGTTTTATCCTTTCACTTTAAAGAGTAGGGCAAACCACTGTGCATATCTTTGTGATATACGCCGCATATTAATGTATCTTGCCCACTTCTGTGGTCTCGGAGGATTTTATGTTTTTTTCCACTACAATTTTTATTTGCTGTCATGTCATGTCCGCACGGTTGTAAATATAAAACTATTTATTCTTCAACATTTGGCCATTTGCTGTCATTCGTCTTCAGCTCCATTTGCTTATTTTTGGTGGGCTACTGCACAATCCTACCAAATTTCTTAAAATATTCAGCTAGTGATCTGAGACATGACAGCAAACGTTTTTTTTTATTTTCTCCCATGAGCTATTCAAAGCCTCTTGAGAGTATCGGATTCATTCTCAAGAACCCACGGATTTCATGTATTGAAAAAATCTTAAGGCCAACGTAGGAGAGTCAAGATAGCTATGGAGTCAGAGTCATGTTATGTCGTTTTCAAAATTGGGGTTATGTCAAGGTCATGTTGTACTCATCAATCCTAACATAACATATGTAACCTTATATATGATTTCGTACCAACTTGGCATGCTTATCCTTTTTGTGAGAGATGAATGTGGAAGTAAAGTATTGGAAAAATATGTTTGTGCGAAATTCATCTTTTTCGATTTTGGTTCTTTGAGTTTTATCCTTTTTGTACTCCATCTTTTGACTCGTGGACAACAATAATTTGTGATTAAATATTAGTTGTGCACTTCCTCTTGCAGGCATCACTTTTAGTGACGAGTCATTTAGATGTGTCATCACATAGCATGAATTTTAGAATTTTCAATGACTTTTACTATACAAAAGAAAAATAGAGACAAAAGATCTGGACTCGTATCCATGACCATCCCTACCTTCATCCTACCTTAACCCAAATTTAAATAGGCAGAGGAAGCCCCATTTCAATACATAATTTAGGTAAAAATTGAATTATGAAATTATAATTCTTATTTTAAATATTTATGGAATTAAGGATTTAGGAAATAATTTTGGATTTAAGAAATAAATAATTTATTTATGCCTCATTTAAAACCGTAGTTTGCCAATGGGGTCTAGCCTAGTGAAAAAGAACTTTGACTTCCATACCAATCTCAAGTTCGAACCTCCATAACACATTGATACTGTGTATAAAAAATCTCCTCCCCTTTTAGTTTAGGGCCCGTTTGATAACCATTTCAATTTTAGTTTTTAGTCTTCATTTTTTTGTGCTGGAGCAGAAGAAAATGAGAGTGAAAATGGGAGTAGGGATGAGATTAAGAGAGAAGATGAGAGGAGAGGATGGGAGGGAGGAGTAACAAAAGTGATATAACTGTTATAACATGTTGCACAAGCTTTGTATGAAGCCCAAAATGAGAAATAAAGAAAACACCTTTAACTGGGCCAGATCCTCAGGTTTGGGCTTAGCAAATACTAAGTTTGCCGGTCAGGAAATCACAAGATGGGTTTAGTAAATAATAAATTTGGGTCCTGCATAATTTCCACAGTCAAAATGCACATAATTTGAACTTGAAGAGCCCAGTGAGGACATAACAACAGCAGAGACAAACCAAACCTAATACAGTACTTGTTGCATGTTTTAAGAAATAGAAATGTTGTGGCCCGAGGCAGCACCCCCTCCCCTTCCACGAATTAAGAAGAAAGAATTAACTCATGCATTCGAGGTCTTAGTTTCGATTCTCCTCTCATTTAATATCGCTTGTATAAAAATATAGTAAAACAAAGAGAGAGAGAGAATTAAGAGATAGAAAGTTGAGGGTGTCATACTTCTTGTCAACCTCCAGAGGCCACTTGCTTCCCGAAAGCTTTCAAGTTGGAGCAACACCTATCTACATACGCTGCAATTCACTAGTTTCCTTCTTTCTAAAATTGGATTGAATTGGTCCAATTTCTTCAATCCTTGCAGATGGAAAGGAAAACAAAACCATAATTAGGGAAGGTGATTGGAATATTGTTTACCCAATTAAGCTTGAGGGTAGGTTTAAATTATGAAATATGTGGTATTTATACATTTTCTTAGCCCTCTAATTTGGTATTCTTTACCTAAGTTGTTGTCTTACGTGGAGGGGAGTGGGTCGTTTGTGTCGTAAGCCTCATGCACTATCTAGATTGCCATTACGTTCATCTTTTGACTTGTGGACAACAATAATTTGTGATTAAATATTAGTTGTGCACTTCCTCTTGTATTTCACCCATACCAATTTTTAAATGTAAAAGTTTGATGTGTAGCAGGCATCACTTTTGGTGACGACGAGTCATTTAGGTGTGTCATCACACAGCATGAATTTTAGAATTTTCAATGACTTTTACTATACAAAAGAAAAATAGAGAAAA